ATATTTTATGAATTAACTACAGAAAAATTGAAAAGGAAAAATTTCATTAAAAGACTATTGATGTGTCATATTTACAAATCAAGTTTAAAATAATTTGAAATATCACTCCAAAATTTTGGATTTGAATTGAAATCAAATTGTAAAATAAAATGACTAAAATATTCTTCTTCAATTATTTCATAACTTCATTTGTCAATTCTCTTACATTACTTTTTATGTCAATTAAATTATTTGTTAGATAAGTAATATTACTTGTTAATCCCCTATCATTAATCTTTAAATCCATTATGTTACTTGTTTAATGTTTAAAATGTAATAAATACATTATCTAATGTTTGGCTTCTTAGATATGTAATATCACTTGTTAATTCTCTCTCATTACTTATTAAGTGTATTGTGTTATTTGTGGAACGTCTAACATGAAATAAATCATTACTTATCAAGTTACTTGTTAACTAATATAATTGAGGTTAAAGTGTATATTTAATCTTTTAACTTTATATAAGGTTTTGTTTTGGTCCCATAATTTTATAAAGTATCTTTTTAGTCATTTAACCCTAACATTGTTAATTTCATCTCAACAAATTTTTACATTAAACCTAAGAAGCACCAATACGGGTACAAGTATCGAGTACGATACGATACGATATGCGGACACGGCAATTATCTAAAATTTTAGGATACGGATACGATTATATAAATAATTAAATATTAAATATTTGGATGTCTAAAAATATAATTTTAAAATGTCTAATACCATCACAAAATATAATACAATAAGTAGTTAAGCATTTAATCACCACCAAGTGGTAAAAGATAATTATCAACTTATTAATTCTAATCTTCTCCATCTTCATTGGCACAACTATTTTCTCCTATAAGTTCTCTCTCCAAAATTGGCTCATCTAAAGATAAACTTGCAACTTTAAAATTTTCAACATCATCTATTTCCCAACAATCTCCACTAATATCCCACAATCTACTTTCTTCAGTGGAATACTTTTCACTCTTTCTTGAAAGAAGATGAAGATTTGAATGAACAAAAACTAAATTCTCTTTTCTCTTTGAAAGCATCTTGTTTCTTTTAGTTAGTGAATAAAAGAGTAAGTGTTTCAATTTTTTTCACAACAAGATGATGAATATAGTTGATTGAAAAGCTTCAATGTAATCCCTTGAAGTTTAGGAGTATCGACACCATGATTGTTCCACCAAACTTTAGACTCTAATATCCATCTATCTTGTATGGGATCAATAAAAGAGAACTCATCTAAACATCTAGAAAACTTTGAAAACTCATTCATAACTAATTTCCTTTCTTCTTCATCTGGAAACATCCTTCTAAGACACTTTTTCCTCTCAATTGATATTTCAGCATCTCTATATGGAGAGACTCTATTTGGTCCACCTTCAAGCCATTGTGTTGCATAATACCTATAATAATATAATAACATCAATTGGAGTTGTGATATAAAAATGGTAAAGAAAAGAATTGCATGAACAAAAATAAGAATAAAATACCTAGAATTCAGTGAGTAAGCAAGACAATATAGTAGAGTGACACTCTATGTCCATCGATCAATGATAATGTTGTAAACAACTTCATAAAATGAAGAGTATTCAGAAAGTGATTTTCTCTCATGCTTATAAATTGATTCCTTGATTTATTTTATCATTGAATCTCACATCTCATAAATTAAATGAAGTGTGGGTCTATCTGTGTTAGCAAATCTCAACATATCATAAATTGATTTAGTGAAAGAGAGAATATAATCAACTTCTCTCACTAAAGATCATTAAGAATTATGTCTTTTATAGTAGCAGCCTTTCCAACATTATCATCTCTATAAGCATTCCATTCTTCACTAATAACCAGTGTACGAAGAGAAGTTTTAATAAGTTTGAATCCCTTCAACATCATAATTGTTGATGCAAATCTTATTTCGACTATGGTAGGAAATTTTAATGGCATAAATTCATTAAACATGGCCAATCTTATAGAATGATTCATGATAAATGTTCAGATGAAGACTACATCATCCCTTACCTCAGTGATCCAACGACATTCTCCATAAACAATTTCATTTGCCTCTGTATTTTTTGCTGCACATATATCCTTTAAGGCAAGATTAAGTGTATACACCACACATGGTGTCCAAAAGATGTGAGGATATTCATCTTCCATCATCTTACCAGCAGATTTACAAATAGGTGCATTATTAGTGATTACTTGGACAACCTTATGAGGCCATACTTCTTCAACCACTTTCTTTATCGAGTCAACCATGTAAGATCTGTCTTTATACTCACTAGTTGCATTAATTGCCTTCAAAAACATGGGACTTCTATCACTTACAACCATAAAATTAATTAATGATCTTCTTTGTACACCTGTCCAACCGTCTATAACTATACTTACCCCCTTATGATTCTAAGTCCCTTTGATTGATTCAAGTTGCCTTTTAACATTGGCCCTTTCTTTTTGCAACAAAGTGAATCTTAGTGCATTATAACCAGGAGGTTTAAAATCAGGAATTACATTATTAGCAGCATATTGAAATGTACTAATAAAATATGGGTTATATGCCAAATTGAAAAATAAGCCAGTCGAATAGAACATTTTAGCAATTAAATTCTCTCTAGCTCTTTGTTGGAAAGCTCTTTCCATTATATTTGTTGTCCTCCTTTTTCCTTGATTGTGTTCACTTTGAATAGGGGTAGAACCCCTTTGACATAAAGGGGACAAGCTCTCAATTAGAGTTGGCAATAGCACATGTCTTGGTTTTGTTCTATTCTCAGCCTCCTTTTGAGCTTTTCACATTTCACCTAAACAACTATCATCAACTTTCAGGCATACAGCAATACCCTTTCTAGAGACCCTCAAGGAAGGAAATTTAACTCTAGAATAAGAGCCATTATATTGGTTATTATAATAGTTACACTTCCAACTTCTATTCCCACCTTTTCCTTCATTTTCTTAATGAACCAAAGTTACATAAGCCCATAAAGGAATACTCTCTTTCTATCTTTCATTACTAGATTGAAATCAAGAATTTACACTTCCTGAACTACTACCGGGTCTAAAATTAGAAGCCATTATAGATTTAATTTTTATTGAAAAATTGTAAACAATTTCTTGCAATTTTAACATGAAGAGAGCTAATAAAAATTTAAAATAAATTAATGTTTAACTCAGTAAAATAATCCATCCAAATAAAAAAATAAATTAATAATTCAGCATTAAATTGGGAAAATGAATCAGGTAGTTCTCTCGGTTTAGCAATAAAACTAGTAAGCAAGAATACCCAGCAGTAAGCTATTAACTAGTAAGCAACAATACCAACAAGTTCTCACTTCTCTCGGTTTAATAGCATTAATGGAAATACCCAGCTAGTAAGCATTCTCTCAAGTTCAACATTCTCCAGTCAAGATTATACTCAGGAAAATGTAAGAACGGCAAGAAGCAGAACTTAAGGGGGAGTTTGCTCAGAGAAGAAAATGAAGAAGATGAACTTACCAAAACCGACTGGCCAAATTGAAGACTAAAGACTGAAGAGAGAGAGACACTGAGGCAAAGCTTAGACAATGAGGCAGCGAGTGAAGTGAAAAACACCGAAGGGTCAACTAAAGAAGCACTGTTAAAGAAGGACGATAAGGCAGCGAGCGACAAAGCAAAGCAAACACAAGAAAGGGCTCGACTAGAGTTAAAAATCTTAGGGCATCAGGTTTTTAGGTTGGGATTGAGTAAAAAGAAGTGAAAAATGCAGAGTTTCGTATCTTCTTGCGTCCGACCCCCGTTTTCCTATCTCATCTCGCGTCCACTCATGTCTGCCAAAAACTAGAAAAACGGACGCGCTGTTTTTGGGTCCTAAATGCGTGTCCATGTCAGATACATATCCGACACAAACATGTCGGCCATTTTCACATATCGATGCTTTTGAGTATTAAACTTTTAAATATTGACAAAACATTCTCAAATATTGACATATTAAGTTTAATTTTTTTAAAAATAACAATTGTTTGACATACAAAATAATCATTTGAAACTAATAATGTTAGAATTAAAGGACTAAAAAGAGAATTTATAAAATTAAAGAACCAAATTGAAACATTATATAAAGTTAGAGAACTAAAAGAATAGTTTAGTCTATAATTGACTTGTTAAACATGTAATATTACTTGTTAATCCCCTCTCATTACCTGTTAAATTCATTATATGTATTGTTCAATTTAAATGAAAAAGGGTATTTTAGTTATTTTATTTTACAATTCAATTTCAATTTAGACTTGAAATCCTTTGGTGATATTTCATCTTGTTTTAGGCCTAAATTGTAAATAAGTCATGTCAGTAGTCCTTTATTAAAATTCTCTCACATAAAAATATATGCATGTAAAGAATAAAAAAATTAAAATTTAATATATTATAAATGAATAATTTTAAAATGAGATTGAAAATACTTTTAATCTTTTATATATTATGTTATTGATTTAACCGATTAAACGTTGAGTAACTCACTAAGCTTTTCTTTAAAAACAATTCACAATTTTTTTCTTATTGGAATTGGAATAATTCCTATTTCAGGTACTGTTGGCACTGAATGCAAAATTCAAACCTTATTCACAATACCATGACACTTTTTTTTTTTTTCACTAGAACCAATTCTTGTTCGTGATTTGTCTTCCGCTCCTTTTTTTTTTTTTTCTTTTCTTTTCTTTTTTCACTAAAACGTTGTTATCTTCAGAAATGACTTGGTTCCTGTTGGATCGTCTCATCCTAACCGCAGACAGGCCACGATACGACATCACGATACGCGGAAAAACAGAGGCACTGTTGTTTTAGTTCGCGCGTGAAGATCCTGGCGCGTGCCCACCTCGGGTTTCTACTTGCATCGGTTTTGGTTTTGGGCTCTTTGGAGTTGCCTGCGACTGCGACGACACTCAATCTCTTGCTTCGTTTTAAGGATCAGAGTCCGCTGAACGTGAAGGTTTCAGCTTTCTTCTCTATCGCAAAATCCCGTTTCGTTTTATCCAAGCCTTTGTTCCCTTGTATCATTTATTAACTTTTCCTAATTCATCGTTGCTTTTCAAGCCTCTTTGTCTTCCTTTCTGGGTTTTCTTCTACGTTTATCGGATTCCATCTTTGAATGTGGCTTATGTTCGTATCTTGATTTCTCTTCTGCATGATTTCCTCGAGCTACATTTTCTGAACTGGGCTTGCTTTCGTAATTCTCCTTTGCCTTGAAAAGTTTCTTCCCGAAATTTCGAGCTTTTTCTTGAGTCGATATAATCATTGGCTAGGGTGAGCTCTTGCCATTAGTTTTCTTTTCCCTTTGTTCATTTTCGCTCTCTGGTTCTAATTTCTCAGCTATGTGATTCATTTGAGAAAAATTGTTGCGTACATTGTATTTGCCGTGTCTCCAATCAACTTGGCAATAGGATTTCATCAAAGTGGGCGTGTCAATTGGGTCTATTCTATGAATATATAATGCTTGCGACGAACCTAAGAAGCTAAGAATTTTTCTTGAATTGATGGGCCTACGGTGCTTTTATGCTGACTTAAGTACCGTGTTTTTTCACTAGTGACACCTTTCAGTTGTTGTAAATGTTATTTGAATGCACGAATGCTTTTATTTTTATTTTGAAAAGTTTTTCTGTTACTTGTCGACCAAATACAATTTTAATAAAATTCATTGCAATAGCGGAATAAAACAGTTCGAGAAGTTACTTGTTTTGATTATTTTCCACTGGTAAAATTGGTTCTTGAATCATGATTTACTTTCACGAACTTGAAAAAATGAAAGGTACTTGAAGGAAGTTTTTGAACTGAACATTTCATCAATTTGGCAGCCTATTAATTAAAAATGTGATACATGTTCATCTTTAATGGTTCATTTTCAAGCCTTATAGTCTTATCTCCCTTCATCCATGTTGAATTGAATGTTTTGTGCCTATTGCAGATCTTTTCCAGTCCATTGTTTTGAGTTTCAACTTCACAAGAGGTATAACGTTGTATAATTTGTGATTATCTATGCTCTTTAGAAGTTCCTTTCACTCATTACCTCTTTTACCATCCTCCTTTACAAAGGTTATGAACTTCCAAATACGTAGTGTCTTTTGAAGGGGAGAAAAATGAAGGTTTGCCATAAAACGAAAGGAGATTGCATCACAGGTGGGTCAAAATTACTTTTTTTGTTGAATTTATGAAAATAGAATAAGCTAACAATTTTTGCCACTATTATTGGTGTTATTTAACTTAATTCCTAAATGCTAAGTACACAAATTAGTCTATGAGAATGACAAACTCATTGCTTACTAGTCCTAGTGCCAAGTAGCTTAGAGATGCCAAATGGACTAAAGTGTATTGAGTTTGTCATTTTTGAGCACCAATCTGCGTGTTCACTAATTTTGGAGACTGAATTTGAATACACACATCAATTTAGGGACCAAATTGCTAGTTTACTCTAAATTATTTTGCTGTTAGTGAACATTGAGAGATCATTTTGTTCTTTTGGTTGATCAGCTACTCACTAAATCTGCTCTGAAATCTGATTTTGAGAATGGATGGAGCTTGTGGCCAGTGAAACCTTATCAAGTAATTATATGATTTTTTGCATGAAATGGATGGGACAAATAGATTATCTCCCATTAAATTGGTACAGTGTCGGATATGTCATGATGAGGATGACAACTCAAACATGGAGACTCCCTGCTCTTGTAGTGGCAGTTTGAAGGTAAGAGTGCTTTTCTAATTAAATACTTTTCTAGTCTGAGTCATGAAAGGTGTTTGCACTACTTTATGTATATCTTGTAATATCTCATTATTCATATTTCTGTTAATAGTTAATTTGTCAATCATTTCACACAACTTCAAAACTTTTGCTCATCTCTGCCAATTTATTCTTGTAATGTCATAATGCTGCATATTCATCAAAATGAAAATTCCTTAAGCTTTTGCTCATTTCTGCCAATTTATTCTAGGTGTAAATCATAAAACTGTAAACTTAGAGGCCTTCAATAGTTAACTTCTATTCATAATTTAATCAATATATGCTTCTCCATCGTCTTGGAATGTAATATGTCTACTTATTGCCCCTTGGTTGGTTTGGTTTTAGAGACTACCTCAACGAGATTCAGTGCTGGTGTTTAGGTGTTTTGACATCCGAGTTTCCTTTTCTTTTGATTATTGTAGTATGCACATCGAAAATGTGTCCAAAGATGGTGCAATGAGAAAGGAGATACTATCTGTGAGATTTGCCAACAGGTCTGCCATCACCTATTATTGCATACTTGTTTTCTCATTGAAAATTATTCATGGTTATGAATACATGCTTTCTTTAAGTTACTTCATTTGTCTGGACTGTGGTAACTGTAGCAATTCAAGCCTGATTATACAGCACCACCTCCGCCTCCACTATTCCATTATGGCAGTTCCCCATTAAATTTTAGGTGAAATCCTTTTTATCCATCATCGAATTCATAGTCCCAGTTTCTATGTATTATTTTTTCTTTGATCAAGTGTCTTGGCATTGTTATCTCAGAGGTAACTGGGAGATTTCCAGAAGGGATCTGCAAAATCATCAGTTCATAGAAATGTTTGCTGCTAACCGTGAATTCTCAGACACTGATGAGGAATACTCGGTTCCGTCAACAGGGAGTCTGGTCTGCTTCCGCATCATTGCAATTATTGTAATTTCCTTTGCTATCTTGGTGTCTCTTTTTCTGGAAAGGATTGTATATTGCTGGAGGCTAAATGCTACTGTTGCTGTTTTTTCAGCTGATCTAGACTGTATATATATTTATTTGAACTGTCTATATTACATTTTTTTGTGGGTTATACTCGATGCTCCTTTATTTAAGTTCACAGTTGAAAAACTGCTTTTATTCTCCCTGTAAAAGAAAGAGTATTAAAATCTATTTTTTCAGAAATTTTAGGATAACTTTCTTGACCGTATTTTTGGCCCCTGAGAAATTGCATACTTTTATACAAATTATCATATAAAAAAGACATGTTTCTCTTTACCATGCTAACAATGAGGTTGTTTCCTTTTCAGCTTATTGCTCTTCTTGTTTTACGCCATACCCTTCCAATTATACTCAGCGGAGCTGGGGAATATTCATTGACTCTCTATATGGTAAAGGAAGATGGACATTATATTCATTCACATGATAAAAAGTTGATAAACTTATGATGCAGAAGCATTAATCTAAAAGACAATCTTATTTTTATGAATTGCAGTTACTGGTCATTAGAACAATTGCAATACTTCTACCTGTATGTATAATGGTTAAGGCATTTACCATTATCCAACGGCGACGATACCAGGTTTGCTAATCTAATGTTTTTCCCCCTAATTAAGGTGGCAGACGAGCAAGAGAATTAATGCTTGCTTTTGAAATTGCTATCACTGCGTACTCAATTTGGATCTTATGTTGTAATAAAAGCAAGGGAGAATCACATCCAAGGTCCTAGCAGAGAACTTATTTGCAAACAAAGACCAATATAGAATGAATTGTTATTAAAATAGGAATATGGACTTGTTTTTTGGTCCAATGGGACTTGTTACTAGTCTTTATTTTGCAAATAAGTTTCTTGTCAGATACTTGGATGTGATTCTTCCTAAAAGACGATTGTATATGCTACACTGCTTACATTAGAATAGGGATACAGAGAAAAGAAAAATGACTGCAACATAGAAGTGGACCCCGGATGTAGTTATATTCTATTTTGTCACTCTCATTTAGAATGTGTGGTTACCTTGTTACTCTCTTTAGTTCCCATCATTGCACCTAATTAATGCTATCAATTGAAAATCAAATGCTCTTTCTATTCGCTTTAATGAAGGTTATTTTTGGAGAAAAGCATTAAATACCACGAAAACTCATGCGAAGTGACTTGTATTTACTATTTACAACCACAAATTCCTTCTAGAAAATGACCTATATTTAGGACCAGAAGGAGAATAATAGACCTGATAATGAGCTTAGTGCATGTTTAGATTCAGGAGAATGGACAGGACAGGAAAGGAAAGTTAGGTTTGATTTAGATTTTAGAAATTTCTCTTGACTTAGCCTAAGTTGAACATTTGTCTCCCTTCTCTTCCATTCTTTTGACTTTTCCGTTCTCCTCCATCCAAACTGACCAAACATAAATTCTTGTAGACTAACAATTGTTGAGTAATTTTATTTATTTTCATTGTAGAATTTAGACTTTTTTGACAACCGATACCTACTAGAACTGGAAAATAAGTTCACAAAAAAGCACAGTACTTAATTTCTGAAGAAAAGGAAGGGCAAAATAAATTAGCTTTTCCTGTACATTGCTTGCTCAAGTCTACTGCAATTCAGATTTTAACTGATTTATCATAGGTTTACTATCTCTTAGGCTGTAAAATTAAACTTTTTTTTTTTTACGTATTCCCTTCTTAATAGGATCATTACGCCTCTATTCTGCAACATGAGGAGAGTGAGCTGGAACAGCCTCAGTCTCGTGTCATTCATATCTTGTGATCAGACAAGATTCTGGTAAATTTTCAGAGCTAATACTTGCTGTTACGTCGAAATATTGATCAGATATCATATAGTGCTGAGATGTTAAAAGATTTCTGCTTTCTGATTTTTTATTTTTTATGTTTTTGGTTGAGAATTACGAAGGAAACGTCACTTAATTAGTTTGTCCTTCGTCAAGTTATTATCAACCTTGGATGAAGATTTCACTATGATGAGAAGATGCGGATGGTACGGACCAACACGGTGAAGTAGACTCCTCGATCAACGTTTATGTGTTGAGATGAACAAGATGGTCACTTGAAGATTGGTTATTTAAGATTCCATGATTCCGGTGGCGAAGAAGGCACATAAATTGATGCAACTAGAAACAACTGTTGTACATAGATAGTTCTTTGGTGGTGGAAATAGATATAATGGGTGGGGCTGGAACTTGGAAAGATATAACAAAGTAATATGATAATATACTTAATAGTTGTTAAAAATATATAAAATGTCTTATTGCATGCTTATTTTCATTCAATTTTTCTGAGAATTTAGGTCCAAAGTCCGTGGCTCCGTGCAGCAATAATTTATAATTTAGGTGCAGAGTATTATTCTTAATTAGGAGTTTCTTGATTCAGTTGAGTAAAATTTATTTTACATAAATTTAGGGTCCATTTGGTTTGGCAGCTTTTAACATTTGAAAAGTATTTTTTAACTTTTCAAAAGTCAGGTGTTTGGTTTTCAATTTTTTTTGAAAAGTTTATTTAAAAAGTCCTTTTCAAATATTGTTGAATGTGTTTTTAGCCAACTTAAAATAATAAAACTTTTGAAAAGTGTGATGATATTTTAGCATACTATCTCAAGTTTAATCTCTTATTCTTTTATTTTAAAAATAGTTAATTTATTAAAAATATAATTATCATTTCAATAATGATAATTATGTATTAAGTTTTTAGCATTATAAATTGAATAATTAATCATGTTAGTTTTTAGTATTAATGTACAATAAAAATTATAAATTTTTATCACATTTTTTTAAGTTACAAATTTAAAAAGTATAAATAACTAGAGATCAAGTTTTTAGCATTATAGATCAAATTTTATATTATTTAAAATTTTTATCACATTTTTAAATACTTTAAATATATTACATTTGTATAATAAAAATTATAAATTATCATAAATTAATGTCCTTTTTTGTAATTGTATATTTAAAAGCACATTTTACTATCACAATCCAAATAATTTTTAGTGTATGAACTGACTTTTGAAAAAATGTATCTAAACATAAATTTCATTATAACAATTAACTTTTATTAAATTAATTTTTACCAAATAAACTTTTAACAAATTAAAAGTTAAATACACACTTATATCACGTTAGCGTCCTAATAAGTTTGGTTGTTAATATAATATAATAATATCATGCAATTCATCTCACCTAGTAGAATAAGATTTGTTGTTGTTTAGCTTATGTTTATCAAATAAGCCATTATCCATGCTTTCAACGTATGTTCCAAAAAAAAAAAAATCGTTATTTTACTTTCATAACAAATAAGTCATAGTACTGTTTATCATGCATGAACAACGTAATGTTAAATAGTACGTTACCTCTAGTAAAATCAGAAGAATCAGTTGCAATTGAGTTTGTCTCAATTAAAATGTTTCTCTAACAAAACTAAAAGCATCAGACACTCGGAGGTTTTCAATATTCATTTTATTTCGAAGCAATTTTTCAGAAGAACTGCTAACCGAATCAATTTGAATTCATCTGGACACTATGAAGGCTTTGGGTGACTTAGTATTAATTTCTTTTTTTTTCCCAGGTTGAATTAGAAAGGCAGCCTAAAATTAAAAGCAAGACTGATCCTACCTCTCGCTCTAAAAAAATCTTACATGCCATGCCACTAAGACTACAAGATTATTTTTAAGTAATCTTAGTAAGATTGTGTCATGTTAACTAAATGACTGCGATAAGTACAATACTTCTACTTCTTTAAAAATCATCTAAATAGGGAAATTTCATAACATCACAACACAGACGATTTCAGACAAACACGATTAAGCAATACAAAATAGAAATAACAGAAATAACACGCACGACATCCCAGCTCAGCCCAAAATGGGTCACCCAGAATCGAGTACAAAATGCAACAAATCTCAGTCTATAGCAACGCTCAGCAAACATAGGGCCAACTAGACCCTTTATTTGAAACCGAAGACACAAGATACGAAATAGAACAAAAAAAGAAACTTCAACACAACACATTATTCTTCCTCTGATTCTGATTCTGCATTTTGAAGCCATTCAATGAATGGTTGAGCATTCTTCCATATCTTAGCGTCCTTGGAGTCTCCCTTCAGCCCTTTCTGATACCACCGCACTATGTGCTCTTCCTCCAGAACATCAGCATCATAGAGTGCCTTCAGCATCAGCGCAATCTCCTTCAAAGCATTCGAGCCGCTCTTGCAACAGAAGTCCTCCATTGCATGGAGCAAAAGCATCTGCGATCCTTCCTCCCCGGCGACAGCAGCAGCAAGGTAGCTCCTCTTCTTGACAACTTCTTTGGCGTATCCTTTATCAACACCGTCAACAAGGGCCTCAAACAGAGCATTCATTTTTTCCTGAGAGGATGCAGTGAGCCCTGCTAATTGGTGCTGCAGTTCCTCAGCAGATGGACCCTTCTTCAAATAAGATTTGACATCCTCAACCAGAGACCTGTAGGGATTTGAGTTTCCGTTCTCAAGCCCACCATTCACCTCGTTAGCTGCTTTTGGCTTCTTCTCTGGCTCGTCTGTCGACAGCATGACCATCTCAGCCGTCACAGCACTTAACTGCTCTTGGATACGCTGGCGAGCAGCCTCCAGTGATGTATCCGTCTGCCATTGGACATCTTCATCATCATCCTCGTCCTCAACAGGAGCTTCCTCCCGAATTTGACTGTGGGTGGGTGATGCACGGTCTTCATCAGAGCCATTGGCTTTCTTTTTGGATTTTGTGGCTCCCTCCTTGGAAGTGGAAGAACCCTTCTTCTTAACCTCCTTTTTCAACTTTTTCAGCTCCTCATCAGCTGCTTCACCTTCTTTCAGTCTCTCCTTCTCAGCCCTCCTCATGGCCTTCTTGTCTTTGGACCCTTTCTTGAACTCAGGAGGATTCTTGAGTATAAAGGTGGTCAGCTTGTCTCTCATATCCACATCTGACACAAAGCCACAGGCCGCACATTTCAGCTGGATCATTTGACTCTTGGTGATCATGATCTCAGTTTCCGGATTTCCACAACCGTAACACTGAACATATTTTTTGATGAAGTTCTCCAGAAGACCGGCAAGCTTTGAAGTTTCATGTGCCCCGTTAACATGAGAAGTCCCCGTTTTCTCATCAAATTTCGATTGGGCTCCAAGCTCACAACCGAAATACTTGGTTGTGTAAGAAGCTGGCCTTGCCAATGCCTTTGCAATATCAACCATATTAACTACATTGGTTTTGATGCCATTACCTCTACCCTCAATTTTGGTGATCATTTTGGGCATCTTATATCTGTAGAAGGCATCATCATTGTTTCCAGCTCCAATGTTTTGTAAAGCCATGATGATAAGTAGTGAAATTCCAAAAGATAATCTAGATATCAAGCACAGCAAATTTTGTAATTTGAAGAACCAGAAGCAGCAGTCTTGGCCTTAAAGGCTGCAAGGACTTGGGAATAAGACCCTCCTGTAACTATAGGAGGCTGCCACCAGCAGCAACCACAGAACTCGGGGGATTCCTGATATGGCTCGAGATGCATGCAGCTGATTTTTCTGGGCAGGGGCCTGTACTTTTTTCTAGACGAAGGAAAATACTGTCCAAGCAACCCAACTGATCCCAAATAGATGATGGCCTGTTCGGACATAAAAAACCCTTCAACGCAACACCTTCACCTCAGAATCTGCTCAACCTGCAGGGATCCTAAATCAATAACAAGAATAGTTGTTACTTGGATAGCATAAGTGGAAGTGGGAGGTTTATTTAAAAGCCAACAACTCTCATGTGAGAATTATCAACAATCCTTACAATGCTAAAAGTTTAATAGACAGGGAAGTCACTGAAAAGAAGGGAGCAGGCAAATTACAAACAAGGACTAGTTGAAAGCACAATTATTCCACCCATCAAGTCCTGGAAAAGGCAAGGTAATGATCTTCCACTAATTTGAAGTATAAACAGTGCTGCATATATTCTAAAGAACTTAAGTATCTATAAATCAAAATTAACTATGACTACGATATGAAATAACATAAAATAGAGAAGTCGAGACTTCCAGCAAGATTTGCAGTAGTTCGTCAAATCATAATTTATAGATCGTAAGCTCCACTCTGATTAAATCTGATTTCAATTTGTGGCATCGATTGGTTAAAATAAGAAAGCAATGATTCAAATGAAATAGCATCGCATGTGAATGAAAATTATTCCAAAAAATACTACAACAAAAAACTCAGATATTAACTATGTAGAGTAAAATAACAAGCCAAAACCCAAAAGCTGATTTGAAATTCCTAATTCCCAACAAACATTTATTCATCGAACTCAAAACAGAATCGATTTCCCCTGAATCTATAACAGATAGAGGTATATAACGAGAGAGAGAGAAAGAGATTGTCAACGACATATGGATGCATCCATTGAACCAAAAACAAAATCGGTTACATGTATTCCATCAGACGCGTTAAAGATACAACCAAGAACTGGTATTAATTATGATCTATGATTGCACGACTAGAAGTCACGAACAAATAAACCGTAGGAATAAGCAATATAAACAATCAGATAGCCAAAAATTAAAATATGATAAAAATAATAAATGACCAATAAGAAACTCGTACCTGCAGCCGATCGATACAAGACAAGAATCTAAGCGAAAGAAAGCAGATTAAGGAATAAGGAAACTTTTGGACGGAGGAGGAGGAGATATCTAGGGTTAGGGTTGAGATGAAGGCGTGTATGAAAGGAGATAGAGAAGCAATTGGCGGATGCCTATTGTTATATAGAGTCGCTCGAGAAGGAGAAAGAAACCATGCCCTTCCTAATTAAATAAATAATTTAAATTCCCAATCAAAACAAAAGATAATTGAGTTAATCTTGAAAATTCCAATGTTCATATCACAAGTGAGCTCGCTCAGGAGTCAGATCTTATCTTTTGATTATTAACAAAACATTATCTTGAATGTTTATTTTCCAATCTAATAATAAAATTAACTAATAGATAAAAATAATGACACGTTGTGTAATTCTCAATCAAATACATATTCCCTTTGTTAAAAAATATATAACATTTTTAATTAAATCTTATCCTTCAATAAAATAGTTATATATTTTTAAATTAACTCTATCTTTTTATATTTATCTCTATTAAATACCTTATAACAAATATAAAATTATTATCAATAGGGACACTTTTGAAAAAAATAATAATAATTATATCTCGAAAGACTAAAAATATCTTACATCTTTAAATATCCAACTCCTTAAAAAATAACTTATATTTTTAAATGTTAGAAGTATAATGTTAGTCATAAATTTTGATGAAAAAATATTTACATTATTTATCATCATAAGTTATTGGAAATTTTATTCGCATGTCACTTTAAATTCTTCAAAGGATGTGTAACTCTCACAACTCTTGTAATTTTTTTTATTTTGCTTTGGTATCACTGGTCTTTAATCCCAACAACTCTTGTAATTTTTTTTATTTTGCTTTGGTATCACTGGTCTTTAATCCCAACTAGTATGGTCTGCAATTTGTAAGCACTATTTTAAGAGATATACCTTCCATTAAGAATTTAATTATTACTGTATATTCAAAGTTTGAACTTAAAATAATTTAAATTGACTTCCTAACAAGTTAATCCGTGTGCCTAGTTATTTTCTTATAATTTATTTCTCTACCTATATTCATGAAATTTATATTTCCTAGTTATTTTCTTATAATTTATTTCTCTACCTATATTCATGAAATTTATATTTCATTTGTGATGAGCAAGGTAATTAGATAAAAGGCTTTTTCAAATATCTTTATTATTATCTTTACACTGTCGCCAAACTCGAGAATTTTTGAGAGTCTCAATATCTACTAGAGGAACAAGTTTACCAAACTCAAAGTCCCCTCTGATTCTCTCCAAGTTCCCACACTTATTCAACACATCTTCACCCCAAATCATTGGCTAATGGAAAATATAGAGAAGATCAAATGGCCCATAAGAGACTAAGAGCCTGGATGATTATTTTCAACCACATATTTAAATAACTTAATCAAAGTATAAATTAGCTTGCCCATCACACTCATAATATCAATCTTGATATTAGGGTCTTTAATGATCTGACACTCATATTAGGATATTTAATAATCCACCACCTAGGTGTCATAATTTTATAAGCTTGGACATGTTTTAATTGCTTCCTTTTGCATGGTTTAAGCCTTGTATTAAAAAAAAAAAATTCATATCTCCATCATGTTCCACTACCTCATTAAATATCATGAGTTGTGAGGCTGCTCCTATATATGTAGATGCATGTAGAATGCATGCGTGGCACCTTGAAAAGAATGAGATGTACTCTCTTCCATTTCTTCTTTCCCCAAATTCTCTTTTCCTTTTGACAAATCTTTCTTGTTCCTGTCAAACTTCTATTTCGCATCCATATTCCGCACGTTCATACTATTTAGTTGGTTTAATGTAAAGGAGATTTCACATTTTGAAATGATGAATTAGTTGAATTAGCAAATTATTGGAGAAAAAATGATAGATAAGCTACATGACTACACTTTCATACTAGAAATTTTACGTGATTCACAACATAGTATCTATTATCTAACATGACCACTTTAGTGATATTAAATTGAGAACAATCAAACATAACCCACTCAATTTTTCAGATATTTCTTTCAAGCCACTTTTCCAACGGGAACAAGGTACTTAAATCCATTTAACATTTACAAGATGAATTTCTAACAAAATAACACTGAAAATTTGCATTGCTAATTTTAGCCTTAGACGGTTCTCAACCAACGACAGTAACATACTGTATAATCTTAACAAGTTTGTGTAAAATAAAATGAAAAGGTTAAGTACTTCAGGATATTATCACCATCCTTCAAAATAAACTTAAATCAGGATATATCATAACATCACGACACGACGATTAAAGATTAAAACATGAGCAATACAAACTATAAATACTAACATCCATGAGTCTTAACCCCAAGAGTCCTCCAGAATTGAGTATAAAAGGCCACAAATCAAGAGTCCATAGCAAAGCTCAACACAAATAGGGACTAGACCCTTTATTTGCAAATGAAGACACATGCAACGAAATAGAACCATAGAGAAACTTAACACACATTACTCTTCATCCGATTCGGATTCTGCATTTTGAAGCCATTCAATGAATGGTTGAGCATTCTTCCATATCTTAGAGTCCTTGGAGTCTCCCTTCAGCCCTTTCTGATACCACTGCACTATGTGCTCTTCCTCCAGAACATCAGCATCATAGAGTGCCTTCAGCATCAGCGCAATCTCCTTCAAAGCATTCGAGCCGCTCTTGCAACAGAAGTCCTCCATTGCATGGAGCAACAGCATCTGCGATCCTTCCTCCCCGGCAACAGCAGCAGCAAGGTAGCTCCTCTTCTTGACAACTTCTTTGGCGTATCCTTTCTCAACACCGTCAACAAGGGCCTCAAACAGAGCATTCATTTTTTCCTGAGAGGATGCAGTGAGCCCTGCTAATTGGTGCTGCAGTTCCTCGGCAGATGGACCCTTCTTCAAATAAGATTTGACATCCTGAACCAGAGACCTGTAGGGATTTGAGTTTCCGTTCTCAAGCCCACCATTCACCTTGTTAGCTGCTTTTGGCTTCTTCTCTGGCTCGTCTGTCGACAGCATGACCATATCAGCTGTCACAGCACTTAACTGCTCTTGGATACGCTGGCGAGCAGCCTCCAGTGATGTATCCGTCTGCCATTGGACATCTTCATCATCATCCTCGTCCTCAACAGGAGCTTCTTCCCGAATTTGACTGTGGGTGGGTGATGCACGGTCTTCATCAGAGCCATTGGCTTTCTTTTTGGATTTTGTGGCTCCCTCCTTGGAAGTGGAAGAACCCTTCTTCTTAACCTCCTTTTTCAACTTTTTCAGCTCCTCATCAGCTGCTTCACCTTCTTTCAGTCTCTCCTTCTCAGCCCTCCTCATGGCCTTTTTGTCTTTGGACCCTTTCTTGAATTCAGGAGGATTCTTGAGTATAAAGGTGGTCAGCTTGTCTCTCATATCCACATCTGACACAAAGCCACAGGCCGCACATTTCAGCTGGATCATTTGACTCTTGGTGATCATGATCTCAGTTTCCGGATTTCCACAACCGTAACACTGAACATATTTTTTGATGAAGTTCTCCAGAAGACCGGCAAGCTTTGAAGTTTCATGTGCCCCGTTAACATGAGAAGTCCCCGTTTTCTCATCAAATTTCGATTGGGCTCCAAGCTCACAACCAAAATACTTGGTTGTGTAAGAAGCTGGCCTTGCCAATGCCTTTGCAATATCAACCATATTAACTACATTGGTTTTGATGCCATTACCTCTACCCTCAATTTTGGTGATCATTTTGGGCATCTTATACCTGTAGAAGGCATCATCACTGTTTCCCGCTCCAATGTTTTGTAAAGCCATGATGATAAGTAGTGAAATTCCAAAAGATAAGCTAGATATCAAGCACAGCAAATTTTGTAATTTGAAGAACCAGAAGCAGCAGTCTTGGCCTTAAAGGCTGCAAGGACTTGGGAATAAGACCCTCCTGTAACTATAGAAGGCTGCCACCAGCAGCAACCACAGAACTCAGGGGATTCCTGATATGGCTCGAGATGCATGCAGCTGATTTTTCTGGGCAGGGGCCTGTACTTTTTTCTAGACGAAGGAAAATACTGTCCAAGTAACCCAACTGATTCCAAATAGGTAATGGCTTGTTCGGACATAAAAAACCTTCAACGCAACACCTTCACCTCGGAATCTGCTCAACTTGCAGGAATCCTAGGTCAACAACAGGAAGATTTATTATTTGCATAACATAAGTTAAAGGTTTATTTAAAAGGCAACAACAATACCAATAATTCTTAAAAGGTTGTTAGTCTAATACAAAGGGCAGTTATTGAAAAGACAACAGGCAAATTACAAACAAGGATTAGCTGAACATAGTCATTCTACCGCCATATCAGCACATCCATAGAAAAGGCAAGAAGATTGTAATCTTCCAATAATGTTAAGCATAACTTGTTCCACATATATTCTAAAGAACAAAGGTATATCTGAACTCAAAATTAACCATGCCTGTGACATAGAATAACAAACAATGTTGAAGTCTAGACGTCCTGTCAGATGCACAGAAATAGTTTGCAAATCAATATATCTAAATCAGAATACCTGGACTACCCTAGGGATTACAGTATATATTTTTGCCCCGAAAACATTCAAGTTTGACTTCAATTTTTAACACGGATTGATTAAAAAAAGAAGCAAAGTTTCAAATGGAAATAACTTAGCATCGCACGCGAACGAAAATTATTCCAACAGAACACGAAAGAAACTCACATATTAACAATGTGCAGTGAAATAACATGCCAATTCCCATAAGCTGATTAAAAGTGCCTAATTCCCATCAAATATATGATCCATTGAATCCGGCAAAAAAAAAAAACGATTTCGCCTACTTTCATGAATCTATTGCAGATATAGGTATATAAACGAAAAACTGAGATAGTTAGAAACATATGATTGCATCCATCGAATAATAATAAAATCGGTTAAAGCTATTCTAACAAACGCGTTAAAGATGCAAACGAGAACTAAAATGGATTATGATCTGTGATTGCTCAAACAGAAGTCGAGAACAATTATACCAACAATAAAATATCAGATAACCAATAATTAAACTCGAACAAAAAAAATTACTGACCGATAAGAAACTCTTACCTGCAGCCGATCGAGACGAGAATCTATGCG